TAACTTGCTCACGATCAAAGAGAATGGTATTAATTGGTAGGAAGATGAGATCATATATTAGCTTCAAAAATGAAGGACCTATGTAGAATGATAGGTCAGTCTTCTGGTCTTTCATTAACATAGATACAGAAAGACAAGTGGCCCTTACAGAGTTCCTCTGATACTAGCTGCTTAACAATGTTGGCATTTTTTTAATTAAATTACAATTGGCTTAATGGTAGAAATTTTCCTAAGATACTAGCAATAATTCATCAGTTCTAGATTTTTGTTACAGTGTGAGCTTCCCTGTCTATAGGTATTTTAGGGAAAGCTAAGTAAGCTTTGGGAAAGGCAGTTTCATATGTACAATCTTTTCACATTCCCCACACCCTGCCCCAGCCACATCAGAATAGGTCTCGAGTCTGGAACACTTATCAAGAATTAAAGAGAAAAAAAGAGACCACACTGCCTAGACCTTGTGTGGAAATACCTTTCCCCGTTTTCAGACTGGATGACTATTGCTTTGATCTGCCTCATCATGCATCCATGCCCCTCAGGTACCCCATTTTTCCATGTTTCATAATCCCTGGCGGAAGGGGTCAGGGTTGTTTCACAACAGCACAAGAGAAATGCAAGTAGGCGCACTTTCCTGCTGTGGCTGACTGGGAACCCACTAGCCATGAAGAATCCATACACACTATTGGAGCTAAACTTGCTCTGTTTCTGTGTAACTTATGTTGTGCCATCCAGTGTTTGTTGTGTTTTCCTTGCTGACTGGTGCCAAGATGCAATGAGCAGAAATGTATGTAGAATCAATAACTGGGGGATGGTGCTCTGCTTGACATTCAGCCAGATATAAGATTTGTTAGCCAGACATCATTTTATATTCTACTTTTCAAGTAAATCTGATAGATAATGCTATGCTCAAAGGACTTTCACTGGTCTTTTCTGACCATACTAAATTGGTATTTGTCTAAACAGACTTCCAGTGGATTTTCCAATTTTGTATTTATACTTTAGCAACAAATACTTGAAAGAGAACACTTCATTGATTTCTGAAAACATTTTTATCTAAAGACATCACACATACACTTCTATTCACAATATATCTAAAAGATTCAGGAAGATAAATAAGAAGATACAAAAATAAAGTCTGAAATAATATCTTAACTATACCTTATCAAAGGTCTGTCATATGTAAAGAAACAGCCTGATCACCTTGGAGGCTATTCACTGGAGATAACAGTTACTAGTGGGGAAAAGTGTTCTCCATCACCACTTCCAAATATACTGTTCAAATTTATAAGACTGATTTTGGTAACCAGCTCAATCTAGGACCCCTGAATATAGGAAAGGGTCCTAGAATTTGCATGTTTAAAAATACTCTGCATGATACCTTTAATGGAAAAGTGTGTGGGGGGGGGATTCTGTTGTGTAGCTCAGTAACTGACTTGGGGGTTAAAAGGAATTGGGAGAGAATGTCGAGGTATAGCCACTGTCAGTGATGACAAGATTGAGAATATGGCTGTGGAAGAGAAGTAGAAATACAAGTGATGAGAGTTGGGAATTGAAGGATGAGATTGTAGGATGGGATTGGAAGTCCAGTTAGCTAGGAATACAGCAAGACTTATAAGGAAAAGAACCTTGGTTGTCTTAGTATATACAGAGTGACTATGAAGTCTGTGAGTGAAGCCAGGAGGAAGAGTATATTTTGTTATGCAAAGGAGGCATGAGGACTAAAAAGGCAGGTATTTTACATTTAGGCGGAAGAATATAATTTGGAAGTAGCATTATAGAAGGAAAGGATTCTTGACCTTCCTGGCCTAAAGGAGAAATGGGGTTCTACAGAGGAAATCAAACAGAAATATCAGTTCTTAGCTTTGATATCACAGAATGTATAGGTAAAGTGTGCATAAGAAAGATTTGAAAGAATATATAACATTTGACTAGCTTTTCACCTATTCCCAGCTCATTCTTACTTCTGCTCATCTGTCTAAAAAAGAGAAAAAAATTAACTCTGGCTGGGAAGAAGGGAGGAAGTCACCAAGATGGAGAGAAGACTGCTAAGTATCTTTAAGAGGAGATTAACATGAATTCATATTATACTTCTTGGGTTGCGGATATAGCTCAGTGGTAGTGTACACCTAACTATGTAAGGCTCTGGGTTGTATACCCAGTAAAAAAACACACACACGAGAAAGTCATATTACACTTCTCTTTTTCATAGATTCTTTGAAAACAATATATTTAGCATCTTAACTTTGTTCACAAAAACTCAATTGTTTTTAGTTGAACTTATGCTCAAAATGCTTCAGGTTATCTCTGGCCTACAAGTCTGGGTAGTGCTTTTGAACATTAAGCACACTACCAGTAATGTGTTACTATGTTTGTGTGTTTTTCAAGCAGTTCAATTCCAAACTGTTTCCAAGCTTAAAACTTTTCCTAGTACAGAGATTTTCCAAAGTTCTAAAAATCTCCTTTCTTTAGAAACCCTTGTTTTAACAGAAGACTTTTCCTTAGCTCCAGCATCTATCTTGCAAATCATTCTAATTTTTATTTTATATGAACAGTACTTTAAAGTACAGCATCCATAGGACCCTATTGCAGTCAGTCTTTTAATATTTTTCCAATAATATGTTGTCAGTTTCTGAAAATTTGTTGGTAAACAGCAACCAAATAAAATACACTTTAAACATATATGATTTTTATGCTTTTATACCTTTGAAAGACTTTCTATTTATAGGATCTAACATTTACTGACCTCTATTTAGCGCCACTTCTCAGACTTTTGAGAA